ATGTTTCAAGGGACCATCGACTTTCGCCTATCCTTTAAAGTTCTTGGAAATGTCCTTGAATATGCATTTCAATGAATGAAAGAAAACTTTCCAATACCCTTTGATATTTGAAATATTCATTTCATATCCTACCATATCCTTGAGAAATCAATATCAAATCCTTGTTTAATTAATTAAAATGGGGGGTGCAGCTCCCAAGCCCTTTTGCGATTTTTTTTATGGAATTTTGCACAAAAACAAAGTTGTAGAGAAACAAATTGAAATGTTCAGCTACAAAGAAAAAATGTTGTGCCACTTTCTTCTTTTCCTTCTCCCCTTCTCCCCCTTCTCCCCCTTCCCAACAATTCCAGATTTTTATCTCAATGAAATAAAAATTCGTTAAATCAAGCTATCGGCAGCATTGCCAAAGGATATCGAAAGGATTTCTTTATTGCATTACTCCGTGAATTAATTCTAAACATTCAATTGATTTGAGTTAAGGATATCAAGGATCAGGGATAGGAAGATGAGAATGAAAATGAAAATAAACTCTGCAAATTTAATATAATTAACTTATGTAAATGGGGATTTTTAAGGACCAAGGACGAAACAGGATTTTACCCATGCCCTCCACGGAGAATTTCAAATGAAATGCATTTCATTCTTTTCTGATTTTTGCTTTTTTCAAGTCCTTTTATATTTTCTACAAATCGTTTAAATTTCTCCTTTTTTTTTTTTTTGATGCATACCTCTCCCCACCCTGCCCGAAAAAGGGACTTTTTACAGCCAAGGCAAGGCAACCTGCATGCCGGCTGTCTGGCATTATGTGGCCAATCTTTCATATGTGCATTTGTTGCCTCCCCCATCCCTTCCATCTGGGTTTGCCGCCGTCGCTTAGTCATGTTTGCCTCCATGTTGCTGTGCATGCCTGCCTGCCGGCCCTCCCAAATGCACAAAAATTAATATCCTTGTCGCAGCACACAGCGTGTCGAAGCAAATCTCTTGGCTCAACGACAAGGATTAAATTGCAGTGTTTTTTCGTTGTTGTTGTTTTTTTCTCTCTTTTTCTTATCCTTTGCATTTGTGCCAAATGAAAGTGAGAGGAGAAGTGAAAAAAAAAACGAAAGTGAACAATGCAATGGAATATTTGATTAAA